ACCTCTATCTTATATTGCTGGTAATAGTGTTAATCTTTACCTCTATCTTATATTGCTGGTAATAGTGTTTAATCTTTACCTCTATCTTATATTGCTGGTAATAGTGTTTAATCTTTACCTCTATCTTATATTGCTGGTAATAGTATTTAATCTTTACCTCTATCTTATATTGCTGGTAATAGTATTTAATCTTTACCTCTATCTTATATTGCTGGTAATAGTATTTAATCTTTACCTCTATCTTATATTACTGGTAATAGTATTTAATCTTTACCTCTATCTTATATTGCTGGTAATAGTATTTAATCTCTACCTCTATCTTATATTGCTGGTAATAGTGTTTAATCTTTACCTCTATCTTATATTGCTGGTAATAGTGTTTAATCTTTACCTCTATCTTATATTGCTGGTAATAGTGTTTAATCTTTACCTCTATCTTATATTGCTGGTAATAGTGTTTAATCTCTACCTCTATCTTATATTGCTGGTAATAGTGTTTAATCTTTACCTCTATCTTATATTGCTGGTAATAGTGTTTAATCTCTACCTCTATCTTATATTGCTGGTAATAGTGTTTAATCCTCGGAATGGAACTAACAACGCCTTTCATCTATAGGCTGTTAATTGTCCTGTGACACAAAACTTCAAGTAGATTTTCTCAGTCAATGATATAGATTGTAGGGTTGCCAATGAAAGAAATCATTCCATTGAGTCAATAAACCTCTTTCAAAAAATAACTTTACAATCTTCAACAAGCCAACAAGAGTATATATTCATCAGTTAACTTAGCTATTGTTATGAATATACAACAGAATCTCTGTATAATCTAATAAATACATAAAATACAAGATTAAATATTTATTCACAACTGTTAAAGTTATAGAATTTATATTTTATGTTCAATCTGAGAGATAGAATAATGAATTATAGGACATCTTCAATAAAGTCTGTCTTTTTTCAAGTATCATTTAGACACTTTATTTTACTTGTTACAAGTCTATCTACAATTATTATTACTGTTAAATAAATGTATCATGTTAATTTTTAAAAACAAGGTTCTGAAGAAGATTTCCACTTTGTTAACAACATGAGATGAGCTCTTGTCAGTTTTACTGGATTGTAAAGGTGTTTTCTAATTTAGGGAACACATAGAATTGTAAGCACCATTCTAATTTTCAGATTGCTCAAATATCTGGTTCTTGCAATTCCAACTTTGCACTTTTTTATTTTTACATAAATGTAACCATGACAAATACTCTTGTAATATTATAAAAAAACTTTTCAACAGTGATTTTATACAACTAAATATTTCCATGGTTACAGAAACTAAAGGAACTGAAGATATCTGATGGTAAATTGATGTACAATTCTTATAATCATGTATTTAAACTAACTGTACAAACAATACTTTCTCACTAGAGGTTACACCTACACGCCTGTGCCTGTGCTTTCTTAACATTACTTCACCACAATGTTACCTCAATATTCCCAATAAACATTGAAAGCTAGAAAACCTGTGTACAATACAATAGGTCTACCTTACAGACATAATTAATAATACTCACCAAACAGGTTACAGTATCCATTATCATTATTAATTCATGTTTAAAAAACTGCACAAAATATTCACACAGTTTTTAACCAAATTTATTCACATTTTTCACCATTTCATCAAATTTCTTATTCTGATTTTTATAATTTTAAAAGTAAAACATGTCAAGAGTTTTGAGTTATTTAAACAAGGTCACCCCTCTCTCTCAGTTGACTGTTTGTCTAGTAGATAGGTAGTTACTTTCTCAATGGCTATGACAGAAGGCCACAAGGTACAAATATTTAGATACTATCTCTTCTTCTTTATTAAACTAGATTGTCTGTCTTACATTTCATTTTAATGTAATGAAAACAAGCTGATGTCAGCTCAATTTATAAACACAGAACCAAAATCCATCAACAGTCACAAATAATCATTTTGGTTTAATCCCTAAGAAATGATTTGTAAGTCCTATTTATCCATCAACATACAATTCAACCATCATAAATTATATATATATATTATATATATTCATACCATTTTTTTTAAACGATTTAAGTCCAATTATTATGAACAAATATCAAAAATTCTACAACACAAAATTCATGCACTGTTCATTTTTAGTTTGGGTCAAAAATTTGAATCAAATTGAATTCTTGGTGAATTTCTTTATGTTTTTTTGATCAATCAACGCAACAAAACTCAAGTCACGTGATAACAGAAAATAACAGCTACCAGTATAATATTTCAGTTGTAATCAGCTAATAATATCAGATTTAATAGTCCGATATAAAAACCACTTAAACTAAACTCACATTACAATAATTAATCATATCTTTATATTTTAATACAGGTCAAAGGTCATTGTCATTCTAAATTTTGAGGAACTTTAAAATCACTCTATTCTCGAGTGCAGGAGCACCACACCACAAAATTATTACAAAAATTGTTTTATGTCAGAAAAAAACAATCTATAATCTTATTATGTAAATAAATATTGTTTATACAAAAAAAAAAACTTAAAAGACCATCACCTACGTTGGCAATGAACTCAGCAGCTCCATGCAGTGTGCAATGAGAAAAATTAGGGACAGCGGTAATTGTCCCTATCCTAATGACTAGCCACTTTTCTAAGCAGCCCCTCAACTCTACATGTTATTTTATCAAATTTAATCAAACCCTGGGTTCTATACACATCGTCTTTCTTAGATTTTCAATTTATTCATCTTGAGTACCCACAGAAAATTTCCTATAATCTTACCTGTATATAATATGCTCTGTCTAAAAATTCCATCCATTAAATTTACGGTTCTAATGAACCTTACAGAACTTTTTAATTATATCCTTTTAATTTTCTTTCAATTTTTTACAAAATGTTTTTTTTAAAGTCAGAACATTATAGCTATGTGGACTCTCTCAATGTCTACCAAGTTGACAAACACAGCCTTAGAGTGATATCAAGTGAACCCTACTTCAATAACAAGATTACCAATAAATTTTCTTTCAGCACTTTAGATGAATTTCCCCATATTAAGTCCAAAAAAGAATATTATAGCTATGTGAACCCTCTCAATGTAAACCCTTGACCAACCATGGTCCATAGAGTAACATCAAGTGAATCCTTTCTTTATTACACTGTTAGGAATATCGTCTCTTCAAAGTTTTAAAACACACACAAGTTCAGGTTAATCCAAATCTTAGATATCAAAATTTCAATTAATTTTAAATCCACTGTAGTAATCTGTTCTTGAAATCCAACTGACCTTACACGACCCTGAAACAAACAACCTATCCCTGGCCACCATAAATCATGATATCACACAGGACTGTGTACATTCAATTAAAATCTAATTATAAATGTAGAAATGTTTTAATGCTGATGTATTTGTGTCAGGTTTGTGACAAATGACAAGATGTAACTAAATATACCAACTAGCCCTCTAGACATCTCTACTCACAACCTCCTATACCTCCAGACATCTCTACTCTCAACACCCATTTACACCAGACTGCTATAATATGGCATCACATTCTCGTTTCAAACTACCGTTCTGGGGCTAATTCTTAAAACCTTCAGTGAGATCAAATTGTAATTTAATGAAATGGAATACTGTTAGCACCAATTTACACCATTCCAATTTTCAGTTAGACATCTGTGGTTCCTGCAATTCCATTAAAAATAAGCATTTATGACTATTTTTTAGCAAATTTTTTAATTGCAGGAACATCTGACAGAAAAGTGGAATAATGCAAATCTATGCTATCAATTAAAAAGTTAAGAAAACTTCTTTACAATCTCTTTAATATATAGGCAGCCTAAAAAATGAAGGTGGGAGTCTCTTTAACCTGACAACATCGTCTGATGAAATGTAAATATTTTGAATGTCTGGTTGAATTAATTAATAATATTGACCTGACCAATGATTAAACTATCAAATTAAAATCTCAGATATTCAATTTCAGATCTACTGACCTTGACCCAGGTCAAATATTTCACTCACATTTCTACTCAGGTCATCTATTCTTTCTGATAATCCCCGTCATTAAAATTCTAATTTAAATTTTTTATAAAATAAATGCATTCGGGGCATCAAACTTCAGCAGGGCTTGATGAAAAGTCGTCAATTAATCCCTGTCTTTCAAATTCTTATTCTAAAAAAACTGAAACAAATGTATTTGGGGTTCAAACAATCCTGTCATGTTGCTATTCATTCGAAATCTAATAACATGTCTTCATTTACCAAAATAGGTGCAAAAACGACATTTCATTTAAATTTCTGTTTGTGAAAAATGCAGATACCATCAAAGAAGTTAGTTGAATAGACTAGGCTAGACCAGAGTAGCTGAAAAAGTCAATTTTCCCAAGAGTTGGAAAGTAGGGTGTAAAACTCCAGAAATCACCCAACTCAAATTACAAAACTGTAAGACTGACATATTAAAGTTGAAAGAATATTGCTAGTAGATGTTATAAAACAATGACATCATCTTTCATCAATAGTAGTCTACTGGCCATGTTAAAACTTTAATCAACCATCAAATCTACGTCAATATACATTCTATTTTAAATGTCAAGGGGGTGATCTTGTCTTGTAACAATCAGTAAACTTTGTTACACAATGTGTTTCCGTTCACATCTTTCTGTTTAAAAATATATGTTAAAAGTTAGGATGATAGTACGTAACAAAATGTCAAGATACTTTTTGAAAAGATTAGGTCTTCTCACAGTTTAATACCTTTATCTGCATATAAGAAAATTGTAATAAAAGTACAACAAAATCATCAGAAAGATTCACAAGTTTTGATACAATCAGTAGGGACTAGCTTGAAATCATGATAAATTTTCAAGTTTTATGCTGTACACAGAGATGTACGTGACCACTGAATTCATTTCCCGAACTTTGAGAAGCGTAGGCAGTGAAGCGTTTTGTGATTCTTATCCAGAAAAGAAATGAATCTGCAACCAATTTCCATTTCCAAGATTTCAGTCTTACATTTCTGTTTAAATTGGGTTTATCGGGCTAAAGAAGAATGACAACACAATAGACTGTGCATTGAGGCCTGTTCTTCAGAAAATTAAGGCTTTAAGTAATTTACAGTAATCTGATTGGTTTAAAAAACAATATTTAACACTGATTTTAATGATTGACAAATCAAATACTTGAAACACTCTCATCATTTTACACAAGGTGACAATGTAACAGGAGTTACCACTAACGTGCTATAACCATAAACACATCAAACAATCAATTGTTTTTAAAACCTAGAATATCTATTGAGAATGGAACATGAATTCCCTATCTACTACCATGACATTTAGGTAAAAAATTCCCTTCAACCAACATATGAAAATTAATTCATCAAAAGCAGAAATATTGAGACATGTGTCAACTCACAAACTAACCACTAACATACCATAAACATAAACATGTCAACAAATCAATTGCTTTTAAAATGTTGAATTGTTATCTCCCGAACAATAGAACCATGCGCGGCCAGGACAATAGGGTGAATTATCGATATGAATTATTCATGACTGGACTAAGTGGTTGATTTGTCCACCAACTTGCTGACCAGGAAAT